AGCGCCGGCCTCAGCCATCCGCAGCGTGGCAGTTACAATGTCCCGACTATACCACCAATACTGCCCGGGCAACTAGAAAATGTGATTGCTTACAGGGTAGCCTCGGGAGCCCTGCAAGCACAAGGCACAAAACCCTTTTCTGCGAAGCCTTTCTAAATATTTTGTACAACCTTCTCTGCTCAAATCAACAGAAATTCCTAACGCAGAAAAGTAGCATTCTCCAGGTATATTTTAAAGCTCTTTCAGGAAAAACAATCAAACAAACAACAACAACAACAACGAACACCTCTTGTTTGAAGAAACAGAACAAAAGAAAGTCATTGAAACTAGTGGGGCTCTGCCCCACGTCTGAGCATCATCACACGTGCAACCGCCACCTTCTCGCAAAATTCTCTGTGTATTTTGCCTGTGGTGGCTCTGCAAGGACATTGCTTAACATCTTTCACATCTCTGAAGCGGGTACTTCCTTAAAAATTATGCCAAGCGTAGCAGCCTGATTTTCCATATACAAAGACAGGCTTAAGTGGGTCAGTAAAATAATCAAGAATACTGGCATTAGCTTATTATCACTTGGCACCAGAACCCAGGCTTTGCTGGAATAAGTAAGGCAAAACCCTACAGCTATATCAGGAGGCTCTCCACAAGCACGCCTGCGCCTCATGCGAGTCCCTGCATTGGGTTTTCTTGGAAACTGTAGCAAGGAGAAGCTTCTGTTATAAAAAGGTGAAATTCTGGAGAATAAGTTGGCAACTTGGGGAAGGTTTGACACGCCTTATGACTACATCCTGGCACAGCCTGAGCTTGAGGACTGACACGCAGACAATCAACTAATACATTTTCTGGCTTGCAACTGTCCTCTGGAGGAGCTTGTCTTTCCCTCTCATGATGAAAGGAGTCGAGAGACACCAGCCCCCCGTGCCCAAAGGTAACCCTTTGCAAAGAGCTCAGCTCCCAGAGGTAGTTCAAGACACGGGATGGGGGCTCATCATAGCCACAGTCCAGCCCCTCTTCCCG